TCCCTCAGAAGTACCTATTTGATGGCTGAGTAGAGGAAAAATCCTAATTTTGAAATATGTGTCCTTTGCGTAGATTATAGGATGGAAGTATTTCAAAATGTATTCTCCACCCTCACAAAAAGGGACACAAAAAAAGGTTTCAAGTTACGCACACAGAATCATAGAGGTAATGATTTTAATAAAAATGAAGACTTTCGACCCCATATGTCATGCATTTCAATGGGGACGTACTTTAAAAACGTGTTTCCTATTTCGCAAGACATGAATGAACTAATCACTATTCAAGGTAATAGAGCGCCGAAGGCGCGACCATAGCGAGTTTGTTTGTCCTTCGGGCAAACAAACTCGCTTAACTACATAAGCATGTTAAGTCTCGATATATCCCCTGGGGGAATTTTTCCGAAGGCAATATTTTTAAATAAAAAAAATTTCGTGGCGAATTGGACAGAAATGGAAAGGTGAAAGGTGGCACACATATAAGTCACATGGTATTATTGAGTTGTGGGAGTAGTTAGTTTTCATGGTGCATCCCCTCCGGGCATAGATTTTGGGTGCGTCGACTTTTGAAAACATGCTTTTTCACCAGCGAAAAAGGCAAACGTATAAGGTTGAAACTTTGTGGGTGTGTAGTTCTATGAGTATTAATTTCGGTTAAAAAAATATGTACTTTTCGGTTGAAACGCCCCAGGGCACATATATTGCAAGAGGCGTATTTTCTTGAATTTTCCCGATCCAGCGAAACAGAGGTGCTAGAAAGTTTAAACTTGGCAAAGAAGAACCCGATGGATAGCTGAGTAAAGAAAAAATTCTACTTTTATTATATATATTCGTGAGTAGCTGACTGACATAAGTCACTATTCGCGTGCTGAGTTCAGGGAAAATTCCACTTTGGTGATACATGCCATAGTGGTACACCTTTTCGGGGAACATATTTTCAAATAGTTCTCTGTGCTTCAATCAAACGGAGACACATGGAAAGCTGAATTTTGGCAAGAACGTGACTGCTGACGCACTGAGCTCAGGAAAAATATCAAATTTTGGCATTTTTGGGGGGGATATTTCTTGGGACGTTATGTTTTCAAAGAATTTTTGATATCCTAGCGAATCGGGCAGAAATAGAAAAGAAGCAGCTGGCGCACGCATAATGGACGTGATGTTGATTTAAGGAAAAATTTATCTTTTATTGTGCGTCTCCTCAGAGCATAGGTTTTGGGCGGATCGCTCTTCCAAATACATTTTTTACCGCCAGGAAAAAAGAGAAACGTATAAGGCTGAAACTGGGTGGCATGGAGTTCCCTGAGTCTACATTTAAGAAAAAATATTTCGTTGAAACCCATCAGGGCACTTTTTTTCAGTCCCATTTTCCTGAATATTTTTTTTTATCCACCGAAACAAAGACAGAAAATTTAAAATTCCCTCAGAAGTACCTATTTGATGGCTGAGTACAGGAAAAATCCTACTTTTGAAACATACGTAGATTATAGGAGGGAAGCATTTCAACATGCATTCTCCACCCTTACAGCCCCTTCGATCACCAAGTTAAGCAGCGTCAGCATGGGCACAACCTGGATGGGTGACATGGGAAGATCGAGCTGCTTGCCTAAGGCGGTGCTGGGCACTTCACCGATAAGTCAAGAGTCAAGATAGTTAGTGACATCAAGAGGCGATTTCGCCCATTTCGATATCACGTGTCGAGGTCGAGCGTTCCTTAATTTTAGGGTAGGCCTAACCCTCTTAAAGCTAAACATTTTTGTATTTTTTTTTTTTTTTTTT